GACATGAAGGAATCAGGCTGAAGTTTCAGATATCTGATCCAGCCATGTTTTAGCCCTGAATCAGACTGTAATTGGATACCTGTCTGAGCCTTTTCCTTCTTCTTTAGTCAAAGGTCATATTTTGAATAAAACGGTCATGTTTGTTGCAGCTCACGTAGTTTTCGATTTAAGATGTTTTCAAAAACACAGGAGACCAGATGCCCCACAGGACTGTTCACTCAGAAACGTGAAACATGTCCATTGTTGGCTCTGGTTTCACTTTCAAGTCGTTAACTCTCCGTATGACAAATGTGCTGCTTGTTTAACCTGCTTAAAATGTTTTCCTTAGAAACAGAGCTATAGATGTCATAAACACTAGTCTGAAATTTGCAGAAAGAAAACAAAAAAGCATTTTCAGCTGTGGCTAAAAGGTCGTTTTCTTTTCTTTACAGCATCAAAGACTGTAAATGGCAGGAGAAGAACATTATTGTGATGGACGACGTCATAATCTCACCGCCTTACCAGGTTGAGAACTGCAAAGGCAAAGAGGGAAGCGCTTTAAGTCATGTACGCAAAATAGTAAGTACTACTACACTTTCTATTTTCACCTTTTCACATGTGTAACTGTTTATTTCATGATGACTTTGTCTTCAGCTTTTGTTTTTACTTGATTAGGGGGGGGTTAGAGATTCCAAAGTGACATTTTCAGACTTGATTTTCTTTCTCTTTTTTGTGTGTGAGCATGTGCTCATCTCCACATGCTTGCAAGTTTGGATTAATCTAATAAATCCGCAAATCCCTCGACCTCTGTTACTTCACCTTTGTCCGTGATGAGTGCCCCATATGCTGCATTTTAACAACAGTTTTTTGAAGTTGTATGCAAATGTGATCGCTGTGCTCTGTGTTGAATGTTCTGTAGCATGCATCACTAATTCCCTGATGGCATATAGTCGTTCTTATTGAATGAGTTCAGTTCCACTCTTAGCCTCTTCCTCACTGACGATTTGATCGCTTTTCTAGGAAAATTCAAGTCTGTAAATCTGTGCTGTCTTGTTTTGGGCACAGACAGAAAACGGTTTAAATGGAAAGTGCAAATGTTCCCCCGATTAGACGCTTTCCCCCCCACCCAACGCAGTGTAAGACTTCACCATTCAAGTGTATACATTAGGTGTGTTCTGTCACATAAAGCTGCTCAATTGTTACAAACTATTATCAGGATTATTTAGAACAGTCATTCATAAAATTAAGAGTCTCATCTCGAAGGGGGATGACCAGTGAATAAGCTGCAGGTCAACTGCTGGAGGGAGGTGGGGGCAGACAGGGATGGGGACCTTGGATCACCTGCATGGCAGCAACAGGGTGAGCAATGGAGAGCTTAAGCTGACTGCCAGCTGTTAGGCACTAGGGCTGCCACGATTAGTCGACTAGTCACGATGACTGAATTAATAGTCGACGCGTCGTTTGAAGCTTTGTAAGATCCCAAAAGACGCAGGAATAAGTAGTAGGATTTAAGAGTGTAATAATGGACTGAAACAGAAGATGGCAGCACTGCATGTACAGGGATGCCAGCTGCCCTTAAACCCCGAAGAAGAAGCTTTGTCCCAGAATTCATAGCGCGGCCCAGTGCAGTAGTCAATAATGGCGGCAGCTAGTTAGTGTTAATATTACTCTTATTATTCTTTTTGAGTCACAAAATAAACGTTTAACATATTTTCAGGCGAACATATGTTAAAATATGTTAAAAA